CTTTTATTGATTTCTGTGATATGGGAGAATAGCAACCATTTCAGCTAAAAGAATAAGTTATAGAATATTATTATATTAGATAATTATTTTTACTATTTTTTTCCAAAACCAAATTAACAATTAATATAGTAAAAGATACTGTTTACTTCTATAACAATTAATATGGTAAAAAGCACTGTTTACTTTTATATACATTGAGAAAATGTTCATTAAAATGAAATTTTGCAGAACATTTCTCCGTCTGGAAAACCTTTTAATAAAACTTTTGGTCAACAAAAATGCTGACTACTTCTAGTAGACATGAGGCAGCAATGTGCGCTTGTAGCCCAGAAAACCAGTGGTGTCCTGCACTGCATCAAAAGCAGCATGACCAGAAAGCTGAGGGAAGTGACCGTAAAGTCAGGCTGAGAGAGCTGGAATTGTTTGGCTTGGAGAAGAGAAGGCTTCAGGGAGATCTTAATGCTGCCTTTCAATATCTAAAGAAGTCTTACAAAAAACCCAGAGAGATACTGAGGCCTGTAGTAACATGACAAGGGGCAATGGTTTTAAACTGATAGATGTAGATTTAGCTTGGACATTAGAAAGAATTTTTTTACCATCAGGTTGGTGAGGCAGTAGAACATTTTGCCCAGAGAAGTCATGGAAACCCCCCTGGAAATGTTCAAGGTCATGTTGAAAGGAGTTTTGAAGATCCTGATGAAATGTACCTTTGTCCATGGCATAGGGGTTGCACTTGATGATCTTTGAAGGTCCCTTCCAACTCAAACCACTTTATAAGGTACATATTAGAATGAGTCTGAGCAGGAAATCTTGAGTAAATCTTTGGGACAACTAGAGGAACTTTAAAAAAGAAAACATTTCTATCTTGCTGAAGCAATGATAAATGTGAAATTATTAAGGATAATAATCTTAAAACAGTTCTAATGGTCATATAGAACTCAAAATTATCTCTCATTTTCTAGGCTGCAACAATTGCACATCCCTTGCAAAGTAATGTGTAGTTCAGAACAGAACTGATGGCAGCCCTGTTGAGAAGGACTTGGGGGTGCTGGTGGATGAAGAGCTGGACACAAGCTGACAATGCACACTTGCAGCCCAGAAAGCTAGCTGTGTCCTGGGCCTTATCAAAAACAGTGTGACCAGCAGGTCGAGGGAGGTGATTCTGCCCCTTACTTTGCTCTGGTGAAACCCCATTTGGAGTACTGCATTCACTTCTGAGGTGCCCAACACAGAAAGGACATTGACCTGTTGGAGCAAGTCCAGAGGAGGCCACAAAGATGGTTAGAGGGATGAAGCAACTCTCTTATGACAGAAGAGAAGGCTTTGGGGTGACCTCATCGAGGGCTTCCAGTTGTTATTGTTTACTTTGGCTGAACACCAGGTATCTACTGGGTATGCGCCCAGTCCCTCAGGAGGGAAGGGGAGGGAGGAAGGGGGGAAAGGAAGGGAAAAAAAACAAACTATGAAATTGAAGCTGCTAAGAAAGGGTGTTTATATTTACACAAAGAGGGAAGATGTTATAAACACTATATGTGCAGAAAATAACTAAAAATAAAGATACTTCCCCACAACTGACACTCTTCTCCCCCAGAGGAACTGCCTGACCACTCTGCTAAGCTACCTGGAAGAGAAGGGCCACTTGCTTCCTTTCCGTCTATTTTATATCTGAGCTGACGTAACATGGTATGGAATACCCCTTATTGGTAAAATACACATCAAATGACATATCCTATTTCCGTTTCCTGCTCAGGGAGAGTAACGAACCCATTACACCAGTACCTGAAGGGAGCTTACAAGATCATAGAATCATAGAGTGATTTGGGTTGAAAAGGGATTTTGAAGATCATTTATTTCCCAACACCCTGCCATAGGCAGGGACACCTTTAACTAGACCAGGTTGCTCAGAGCCCCATCCACCCTGGCCTTGAACACCTCCAGGGATGGGATATCCACACCTTCCCTGGATAACTTGTTCCAGTGCCTCACTACCTTCACAGAAAATAATTTTTTCCTAATATCTATTTTGAACTTATGCTTTTTCAATTTAAACCTATTTCCCCTTCTTCTGTCACTACCTGCCCTGTAAATTGTCTTGCCCCATCTTTCCTGTAAGTTTCCTTCAGGTACTGGAAGGCTATAAAAAAGTTATCTCAAAGCCTTCTCTTTTCCAGAAAGATGGAAAGAGACTATTTACAAGGACATGTAGTGATAGGACAAAGGGGAATGGTTTTAAACTGAAAGAGTATAGGTTTAGATTAGGTACTAGGAAGAAATTCTTTACTGTGAGGGTGATGAGGCACTGGAACAAGTTACCCAGAGATGTGGATGCCCCATCCCTAGAAGTGTTGATGGTCAGGTTAGATGGGGCTTTGAGCAGCCTGTTCTAGTGAAAGATGTCTCTGCTCATAGCATGAGGGTTGGAACTAGATGATTTTTAAGATCCGTTCCAACCCAAACCATTCTCTGATTCTGTGATTCTATGATCCAGCTCTAGCAAAAATATAGATCTTAAGAAGTCGAGAGATCTGACGTGTGAAATATAGAACTACTGAAGTTTTGGGATCAGAGATAGGCGTGTGATCAAACTTGATTAATAGAGGCAACCTTTTAGTAAAAAGTGCAAAAGCAATTAATCTAATGGGTGTAGACTTAATGAATTAATATCCTTTCATAACTTGCCAGCCAGAAATGAAGAGACAAGTAAGCTCATGTCAAATTAATTGTCTGTTCCTTCTGTGACAGAGGAAGGAAAAGTGGAGTCACTGTAATAAAATGAAAACTCAGGAAAACCAAAGGTTATTTTGGTTTTTTTTGCTTGTTTGTTTTGTAAGATAGTCAGACAACTGTGCCTCTCCATTGCTGAAAGAAAAATTCTTATATCCGAAATCAGAAAAATATCACTTATGTCAATAGAAGGAAAACAAGAATTGTGCAAAAATTGCAACAGAACTTGAAGAATCTACAAATAAGAAGTAAATTATTACTTTATAGACAAACAAAACAATTGTCAGAAACAGAGTATGACTAAGTTGCTTGTACTTTAAAATGATCCAATATTCTCTGCCACAGTTTTGAACAGTATAGAATGAATGATGCAGAAGACAGGTTGCTGTATGTTTTCACCAGATATGGAGCCAGAATACAAAATGGAATGCACAGCCAGATCTACGACAATGAAAATTCCTTAAGTTACATCTACTGTATAAAATAAAACCCCCGATATTAGTTACTGGCTCTGAAATTAAGGAGTATGGACTTGTTTACAACAACACTATATTCCTTTGATGGTAGACATAGAATAGACATATTTCCTGTATTTTGACTGTCCCTAAAGTCAAAGGTATGGACTAGTTGCAAAGTAAACTTTATCATTTTCCTTATATTTGTTTCTTTCTCCACACAACTTTAACTTGGAACCATGAAACTGGTCTTGTCACTGCTGTCAGACTTACACTTACTGCAGATGGGAAGTGACACTGATGATGAAGACATTTGGAGAACAATTTAGTGACCCAGGTATGACTTATAGTTGATTGATGCATATAGAGAAATGGCCAATTACAATAGTTTTTTTAAAAGTTTGGTCTTATCTCTTCACAAATGCTACACCATTTGCTGTAATTTCTTTCTGCCCTCACACTCCATATTTTCTTGTGGTGTCCAAAAAGCCGTGATTAACACCAGTGAGATTCATGTAGACTGGTTAAATAGAAATGAGAGAAGAATTGGAGTTATTTTGTACTTTTGTGTTTGTAGTGGAATGGTTTAAGAAAAAAGGTGCTATTTTCACTTTGTTCTCTGAGATATTTTTCTTGGTCAAGTCAGGGCAGAACTGTTTAATGGAAAAAAAATCCAATCTGGATTATTACATTCCTGTTCCTTTTATTAATATTAGCATTATGTAAGAAATACTACTTGTCTTTCAAACTTGATAGCCTTTTTTTTCCTCTTGATCTGATTTAAATTTCTCAACATATTTGTATAAGAGAAATTTGCACATCTTTTGTGCTTTTATTAGCATAAAGTTATTTTAGGTATAAACCTATACAATATATCATCTACTGATATATAGTAACCTGAATTACAAGGAGGATGGGAGACTTGAAATTTAAGTATGATCTGAGAATAATTTTCTGAGCACTTGTCTGCAAAAAAAACCAACTCAAAAAACCACAACCCAGCAAAACACACTTGATTACTTCAAAATGAAAGAATATAGTGAAGATTATATTAACACCCTAGCATAGCATTTTTTCCCAACAGAAGCAATAAACTATCTGCCACAAAGAATAGTTAATGAACAGTGAAAAAACGTTCTAACCCTTATCAGAAAATAGAACTGCAGCTTTTGATAAACTGATTAAATTAGTTTGGAGAAAAAATTATATCCATTGTTTATCACTTGTCTAAAATTCATTATGTTTTAATTAATTGCTAACACCTAAGGAGGTGCATTTCTCTTTTTGAATATGTCACTGAAATAGAAAAAGGCACTTATTTTCTTTTCGGTTATGCCTGCATCAATGCACCTACAACTTCTTCTCTGCTTCTCATGGTAATCTGTGATCCCATTTATTCCTATGCCTAGACTGTTCCCAGTTCCTAAGATGGCACATTGCTAACAAGTTCAAGTCTTCTTGTGTTGCAATGAAATGGTTTCTGAAGAAGGTATTGTCCCCCATGACAGAAGATATCTGATCCAGGCAATAAGGTTCAAGATCAACTGAGACTGAATCAGCAGAAACTTGAGGAGAGGAACTGCTAACAGCATTCATAGCAGGAGGTTTGAATGTGTTTTGAAAAGCATCAGGACCTTGTCTCCTATCCAGTCGTCTAACTATATTTGTGAGTGTTACACCCAAACCTTGCTACCTTAGCTTGTATTCTGTCTGCATTTATAAGGTCTGCAGCCTAAATTTTCATGCTATCCAGGTTAAAAAATCTGGCATACCTAGTTCTTGGTGATAGATTATCTGAAGCAGGGGCTGGAGCACAACCAGAGAAAGAAGCATCTGAGAGCATTGGGAAATATGAGTGCTTCAGAAGTATAAAGAAAATTTCAGAGCACTACATATACAGCTAATTTAGAGGTCTACAACAACATCAGCAACCAAAGGTGATCTGATACTGGCAGTAATTGCAAGGCAACCTGTAAGGTTACATGGAAATCTGTTTTGCATTAGCGATCTGAACTGTCATCTCTTTGAATTTTGTAGATGTGCAATATGTATCTAGCCCTGGAAATTATTGTAGATTTCATTGCTAGCAAATCTGCAATTATTACACCTGATGTTAGAACCTTAATGGATCTAACAGTATCTAACACCAGTCTAACACTTGTCATTCCCTCTTTGTCCTGCACCATTCAGAAATATGGATGAACCCAGTGAGATAATAATAAATTATATCAGATAAGGAAATATCAGAATAAATGTCACAAAATTCTGGACAAAGATCTAATAGCCAAGAGGCTTAGAGATATTGATTATGCAGATGAGGAAGAGAAACGATACAGTCTGCAGATTTGCTGCCAACCTTAGGTCTTTATTTACAAATAGAAAAGGATGAGGAACAGTTGTAGGAAGAAGTAGAATCCTTAATAGATAATCAATATTAGAATTTACTTGGTGTGATGAAGACTAATGGACAGATTTATCTTACTTAATTTTAGGAATAAATTAATTTTCCAAACTATCTGTATCCAGTGTCATTGAAAGCACTCTGCTATCTATGTGAGATAGTAGTATTTGACTGGTAAACGTAAGAGAGAAATACCTTGCCGTTCTGAGGCAGTAGCTGAAGGTCAGAAAGCAAGGGCACCAGAACTAATATTAGATTGATTACTTATGTTTCTGCAGCTAAATTGTGCAATGGGTGGCAATGGATGAGGCTCATACACTTATAATGTACTTGTCAGCACGTGATTAAGTATTACATGAGCTAGGTGCCTGCAATCCCAGTGTTATTGGACATCTAGTCAGCATAGTGGTTTATTAATTCAGTTCTGTGGAGATATACACCTCTTGTCATTTGAAGGAGTACCCAAAGTTGTCCAAGACAGTTGCCCAGAAATGGTGGAAGTAATGAGGCAGCTAATGAAACACCTCATAGCTTACAGGAGGCTGTCTTAAAGAGAAGCATCAATTCTTCCATTTACACAAGTGAGTCATGCTGACCGGAGTCTGAAGATCTATTCAGCTGAACAAATGCATCTTAGACATTTCTGGGAGTATTTCTGTGTTTGTAGATATAACCAGAGCTTGCAGTTCAAAATGCACAAATGTTCTTTTTGCAGTCTGAAAGGAGAGAAATGAAGGCTAAAAATAAGGTTTTTATAGGCTTAACTGAAATCACTAGGGAGAAATTTTGGAAATTTTTAAGCAGGAGTAAATTGAATGAGAATAATTTTGAAATGAAAGAATTCCTAATCCTTATAAAGGAGAGAAAGCAAGAGCAAACTAATGACAATGGACAATAGACTTCTGTAGATTCAAAGAAACTCTGGGAAGCAAGGTCCCATAGGAAGGAAATCTAAGAAAGAAAGTGTTTTACAGAGCTGATGATTCCTTAAAAAAACAACATTAGGAACAGAAATACAAAGAATTGCTGTGAAGAAGCATGATAGGAATTATAATGAGATTAAATGGAGTTAAATGTAGGATCTTGCATGACCTTAAATTACAAGAAAAAAAGTTGACAAAAATTAGATAGTAGGTTAAATTACTAAAGGAATAAAATTGCTAAATAGAAGTAATGAAAGGCTAAGAATTACTAATTGAACACTAGCAAAATTTTAGCAAAATCAGAAAAACTGAGGCACAAAATGAGGTACCTCAAACCAAGGACATCACAAGAGACCCAAAAGGGCATTCTTAGCTTATTTGAAGAAAAAAATAACAACAAGAGATAGTTCATTACACAATGGAGATGTAAAGCAGTCGAAGATTTTTCTGAATGGCCAAAAGGTTTGAATGAGTTTTTACTTTTCTTGAGTCTACTTTACTGTGACCACATAGCTAAAACAATGAGGGGTCTGAACTGTACGTGCAAATCAAATTGGTAAGAAAGTGCTCTGGTAAGCTTAAAGACATCAAATCATGTTAACACTATTAATTCACCCGTGGGTACTAAGAGAACTAAATAAAATAATTACAGTTATCAGGGAAATTCCAAACAGAAAAAAGGAATACAGGTGGATAAACCTAGTGCTTATTTTAGAAAAGAGATAAAGGACAGCTTAGAAGAACCTGAGTAACACAAACCAATATGAAACTTAATTTTCACCTACAGAAAACACATCAGGGTTTCTGGGAAAATAAGAAGAAACATGTACTTTATATTTTGAGTTTATTGGGATTCTGACAGTGTTTCTTATACATGATGTAAGACATGGAATCTGCAGAAATATATTTTAGATTAAACTTCTAAAGGGGTATAAAACTGGTTACCTAATCAGGGTAGTTACCACTGAGGTGTTGCTGGGGTCTTTCTTGTAGAAAACAATCTAGTGGTTATAGTAATTTGCAGCATTAGCAATATCATGCTGCTGTGTGTTGTGTAGAAAGAGATATTCAGTTAATATATGTATATACAAATACAAATATTATTGAAAAATATATACTATACCGAAACTGGACTGAATACCAGCCTGAAGAAGAAACAAAATTTGAAAACAAAACCAATGATCAACCAAAGTTTAGGATGCAAAAGATGAAAATAAGATGTAATAATTTTAAATACATGTAAGAGGTGCTAAAGTAAGAGGAATTAATTTTTCATATTCAAAGTAGATAAAAGTAGCTGTTGAAATCAATCATTCTAGAAGGTATTTAGTTTTGACATTTAAGTGAAATCTCCTAATCAAAACTAGTTAATCAGTAAATTAGCTTATCCAGTGATGTAGTAGAGTATTCTACAGGAAACGTATGCATACATAATAAAATGGGATAAATATCACTTGGGAATATTCAGATATAATTGATATATAAAGGCAGGGAAGCATCCTAGAGCTCCTTCATGCATTGTTTTCCATTCATTGTGTCTTCAAAGTAGATATTATTATGCGGTTCAGTTCACCTTAAGTAATCAGGTGGAACAAGATTTACTGAAGCAATCTTACAGAGATGAATTCCATGTTGATAAACTTCTTTGACATCTCAGATGAAAACTGCTGCATAAGGGCAAAATATTACATTGTGTTACTAACTCCATGTATCACAGGTATTTTGGGATGAAAGCAAAGTGTAAACAAGGTCATCAGACTGATAATCTTTGCAGACCTTTCTTCACTCTGTCAACTGTATTTAGAATTTGCTCAGTGTGTGCATTTGGAACTGCTGAGTTTCAAGAACTGTTCAAAATAATCTTGCTGCTCCACAGTAGGTGTTTGTCGCACTGTAATATTTCTTAAATATTACTGAAGAAAATGACAAAGGTTTGTCTGTTTGCATGGCAGATTTTCCACTGAAGATTAGCAACTTCCAAAAATGGTTTAAAACAAAAAAGAAGATAAAAAATAATATTGAGAATAAAAAATGTACACTTAGTTTTCCTGTAGCTTCTGAGGCGATCAGAGCTGTGTGAGAGTAGAAAATACTCTTTATTTATAAGAAGTTTTTTTGATAATATAGAATCATGAATAATATTGAAAGAGAAATCCTGCTTGAGGATATTCTAATGGAAAACATTCTACGTTCTTTCTACACAATTTTATAAAAAGAGAGAAGACAATTTCAGTTATTCAAATAGAATTAGTACCTATTTGTGATGCTTGTTTTCAAATTGGACATTCAATAGTATGAATCTAGTATAAACAGTAGCAGATGGAGAAATTAGTTATGTCCTCAGAGAAGAAAGTAATGCGATAAAGAAACAACGACAATAAGATGCTTTTCATGCAATCTGTCTTCACAGTTACAGACTACATATGATTCTTCAGTAACATCTCTGCAGATGACATTCTTTATCAGTGGACAAATGCTGCAAAGTTGAGTTTTCAAACAAAAATAAACTACATTTTCTTTATATAAATATTATTGATGAATCTTATCCAATTTAACACAATTTATTAGCTACTCAAACCTCTGATGGTAATTTTCTGCTCTTTTTATATGTGATTCCATGAAAGATAATATCATACCACAAAGAAGTTGCATTTTAATAGTGGTAATATATCTTGATTTTTGCCAAAATGCCTTAAAGTCCTAGGTTGATCCTGGCTGGATGCCAGGTACCTACCAAAGTTGTTCTACCACTCACCTCCACAACTGGACAGGAGAGAGAAAATACAATAAAAACCTTGTGAGTTGAGATAAGGACAGAGAGATCGCTCACCAATTGCTGCCATGGGCAAAACAGACTCAACTTGGGGAAATCAGAGCAGAATAATGAGAAGTAAAACAAATATTAAAAATGCCTTCCCCTGCACCCTTCCCTCCTTCCCAGGCTCTGCCTCCTCCTCCCTAGGGTGCAGGGAAACAGGAATGGGGACTATGGTCAGTTCATCACAAGTATTTTCTGCCACTGCTCAGTGAGACAAGTCCTTCCCTGCTCCAGTGTGGGGTTCTCCCACAGGAGACAGTCCTCCACGAACTTCTCCAGTACGTGTCCTTTCAACAGGCTTCAGCATGGACCCCTTTTCACAGGGTACAGTCCTTCAGGCACAGGCTGCTCTAGCATGGGTTCCCCACAGGGTCACAAATCTTACCAGGAAACTTGATCCAGCATGGGTTCCTCTCTCCATGGGAGTGTAGGTCCCTGCCAGGAATCTGTTCCAGCATATGTTTTCCACAGAGTCAAAACCTTATTTTAGTCACATAATCAAAGGATATTCTGAGCTGGATGGGACCCACAAGGATCATCAAGTCCAACTCTTAAGTGAATGGCCCATGTGGGGTTCAAACCCACTATCTTGGTGTTGTAAGCAACATGTTCTAACCAACTGAGCTAATCTCAGGGTCATCATCCACCTGCTCTGTCTTGGGTCTCATATGTGGTCTGTGGGTGGATCTCTGCAGCCCTGTTGACCCCCATGGACCGCAGGGGGACACCCTGCCTCACCATGGTCTTCACCACAGGCTGCAGGGGAATCTCAGCCCCAGCATCTGGAGCACCTTCTCTCCCTCCTTCTTCACTGACCTTGGTGTCTGCAGAATTGTTCATCTCATATATTCCCACTCCTAATTACCTCTGGGCAATAACTTTTTTTCTTCTTAAATATGTTATCCCAGAGGTGTTACTACCATCCCTGACTGACTAAGCCTCGGCCTGTCGCAGGTCCGTCCTGGAGCCTCTGGCATTGGCTCAACTGGACATGGAGGAAGCTTCTGGCAGCTTCTCACAGAAGCCATCCCCATAGTTGCCTACCCCACTACCAAAACCTGGCCACACACACCCAATACAAAGGTTTTCTCCTTGAAGCATGAGAGTGCCAATTGCTGTTTTTCACTTCTTTTAAGTGACAGAAAAAATGACAGTGTGTAACTGGATACCAATTTACCATCATAATTAATATTTCCAATATTTCTTTTCACAGACTTATTATCAAAATGTTAACAATAGCTGAAGTTCTTGGAATGCATCGTAAATGTCTTAGGGAAGGTTGAAATTTCCTGTTCTTTTTATTTTTTCACAGCTTTATATGTGCAAAAATTCCCCAAACTCTTCTCACTGAAGAATCAGATGGCAACTCACTTCTCTGGGCTTTCTTAAATCTTTTGTTCTGGTGGGACAACTTCTAACTTTTAATCACTCTTTTAAGTTTTTGGAAGATATAAAATAACTGATGAAATCAGGGAAATATGACTAGCACAGTTGCTGATATGCAGGCTTATACTATTTTGAATTGGTTCTTTTATGGGATAGTATACTATTAAACTCAAGCTATATGTTTAGCAACCATGACATAAAAATGTAGTTTTCTCCTTATGAAACCCCCCTGACACAATTCTGTGAAGTTTTCATAACTTTAGTAATACAGATTATTTCCTACCCCTTCCCTGAAAACAAGGTCCATTTCTTACCAAACAAGATCAGTTTTGATCAGAGCTGACTCTGTCCTGTTTCCACTCTTGCCAGCACCCTTACTTACTCTCAGATTTGTTGTACAAAGAGGTTTCCACACCATCTGTTCTGTTGAATGATGATTTGCTGTTTGAACCTTTAAATTCTAATTTCAAAGACGAGGACACAACTGTGGCAGATTTTAGTGTTCATTGAATTTTCTTTTTCGATGTCTTATTGCAACGTTCATGGGGTTTAGAGGTACTCAGTATAAACCTTTTATTGTGATTATCTGCTTTGCTCTGATGTAGTCACCCGTAACAGCCATTTCTTGACTTATAAATTTTTCATAATAAGTCATTCTTGGAATCCAGGGTAACTAAGTGTAGCCTAAAGGCCAAGAGTAGTACACATGTTCTGGGTCATACTGCTGAAACCTTATATGTTCTATTTATGCATTTAAAAAGTCAGAATCCCTTTAGAAAAAAACCTTGGATAATGGAGTGTGGTGTTGGGATGTGTAGTCTCCACATGGCACATTTTGTTTAGGTATTTTCAAAGCTATGATGTTCTGGCTCCTGTCACAGTGCTCGGATCATTTCGGAGACTCGATTAAAATAATGGCTACTATACCATATTTATAGTGACAAAATCTTATATTCAAATGATATAAAAAATTTTATTGTGTTAAATGTGTACATTTATTTATTATATATTTATTTTTATAAACTCTAAATTTAAGAATTTTCCTTTTGATTTGAAGCAGACATCTTACAAATAAGCTTGTATTATCTGTGGAGAGATGTAAACAATGTTGCTAAGAACTCAGTGCTTCATAATTGTCCTGGGATTCTTTTTCAGTCATAATGTATATTTTATCTCATAAACAAAACTGAATACCAAGGAATCAATTTTGCACAATCACTATAAATTATTTGTGTTTTGCTATATATTGTCTTCATATCCTGGTCATAATGTTCTTGAAATTGTGAAAAGGTTATATTGTTTCAAATTACAATTTCTTTGAATAATTTTTCTTTTTGCTTTTACCACACTATGAACTTCTAAGACATAATGGCACATAATACAATATTTTTCACTTCTTTAATATATCAAGATTTTGTATTGGAGTTGCAAACCCCTGAAGCTTGCAAATGGTGCTTTTAATAGAGTCAATTTGCATAACAACAGTACAGTACAATTTGATTTGTTTTAAAGGACAAATTACTGAAACTTTTATTTTATTTTAGATGTGAAACATTTGATACGATTGTCAAAACCTCTGCTCATTATCAACATGAATAGTAATCTTTTTTGGGTTTTTTTTGGATAGGTTTTTATGCCAGCAGTGACTTGGCAAAGAATTTTTAAAATCTCTCAGGCTCTCAAGATCATGTATTCTGTCTCAGTAAGTACTGTAAATAGTGTAATAGCTCTTTGCAGTCGTAATACTACATTGCAATTTAAGGTCAACTTGAATTTGAAAGATTTAATGCAGGGTATAAAAAATAGTTGTTTACTTAGAGTTCTTTACAGGCAGCTTTCAATATAGTATTTAATTGCTGTCCCCTTGTCCTAAGAACTGTCCTTTTGTTTTAAGTTTTGGAAGGATGGGGTTGTCTTAACTTGCAGGAGTAAATGGTGTTGTTGACACCTACAAAATAAGGAAAGCACTTCTTTGATCCACCATAGATATTTATGATATTCAACCACTGAGAAAAAGAAAAAAAAACAAAACAAAAAAACACCTTCTCTTAAGTTACACACAGATAAAACAGGAACATATCTTTTCTTTTGCAAAAAAAATATAGTTAATTAGTCTCAAAAATATACATGGTGTACAGCTTCTTTTTCTTCTTAAAACAAATGCTTTGATTAGAACAACCGAGAAATTAAATAACAGTCTCCAGTTTTCTTTTCCTTTTTTTTTTTTTTTTAACATCTGAGTCCTAATACAATGATGTTACATGCTGTTCCATGACACGAATAGCTTACAGAGTCTAAGGGCATAACAAAGATGATAAATAACGAAAAATTATAAAGGAGAAAATGGCTTGAGGGGTTATTAGAGATAGGTAATCATTCCAGTAGTAGAGGAAGGGTGATATCAGACCAGGAAAAAAGGCTAAAGAGTCATGAATGCGAGATGTGTAATGAAGGCTAGTTATGAAAGCTGAGAAAAATTAATTTAGAGGAGCTACATGCTGAAACCTAAATATAGCTTACTTTTAATGTGCAAGATACAAAACATTTATGAAACAAGGAGTGTGGTGAGAGTAAGAAGTTTGAAATAGGTGCTTTTGGATAAATTTAGGGAGGCAAATATGTAAAAATTACCAGTAGCCAGTAGCATTTATGCCTTAGTGAAATATGGAGTTCTGATATGAATTTGTGTATTGACAGGATTAAAACTCGTTACACAAACTTATAGGTAAAAGCTTTTATGCATTAGCAACTTCATAAATATAAGTGCCCAAATTTCCTAAGTAGAATAAATAGCCAGATTTTGATGGACAATTGGCCTGACCTTATCTTGAAAAATTGTGCATAATAGTCATGCTAATATACAGCAATCAAAGACATAGCTCTTCCATTTAAAATTCTAACTTTCTTATAGTTATTTCCTCTTAACTTTTTCATTTCTACATTACCTGTGATATGTATCAACAATTTTCCATTTGTTCTGTAGTTTTAAGTTTGATGTTTCTCTAACATTCTTCACTTCTCAGTTTGATTTCTGATTCTCTTGGCAGGACCAACACGTTCCAGAGTATCTACAGCTTCAGTCCCTTTTAGATTTATAATTCTATCATTACAGTCATTGCTACTAATATGACACATGGGTATCAAAGCTACAACAGAGCCTGAATAACTCCAATTTGATCAACCAGCTCTGGGAAGATCAGTAGGTCGAGACCATAGACACATTTACTACTTTAAAGATCATCGAGTCCCAACACCCCCTGCCATGGGCAGGGCCACCTCCCACTAAGCCAGGTCTCTCACGGCCTTATCCAACCTGGCCTCGAACACTGCCAGGGATGGGGCATTCACAACCTCCCTGGGCAACCTGTTCCAGTGCCTTACCACCCTCACAGTAAAGAATTTCTTCCTTATATCTAATCTAAATTCCCCTCTTTCCAATTGTTCCCATTACTCCTTGTCCTATCACTACATTTCCTGATGAAGAGTCCCTCTCCAGCTGCCCTTTGGTCCCCCTTCAGTTACTGGAAGGTTGCTATGAGATCTCCACACAGCATTCTCTTTTCCAAATTGAACAGACCCAACTTTCTCAGCCTGTCTTCACAGGGTAGGTGTTCCAGTCCTGCTCTTGTTCCTAGAAACCTCGGAAAAGACATGATGTTCTGTGACAGCAGCTGGAAGGTTGGCAGGATATCTTAGGCATCTTAGATTCCTGTATTCAGACACTAACTAGTTATGCATGGGCAACTTTACTGTCTCATGGTGGAATTGTGCTCTAAAGTCAATTAAGTGCATAGGTTAATGACTTTGCTAGGCATTTTGGTATGCTCACTGTAAACATCCAAACTTAGGTGTGTTTATCTTCCACTGAATGTTTAGCTTTTCTGATAATAACTCCATCTGGTATTGCAACAGAACTACTATCTCTCACGTACAACTTAACAGGCAATGTTTTTCTGTATGCCCTTAGTAACAGCTGTTTAGAGGGGGCTACAAGGGGGATTAATTGGAAAAAATGAAAATATCATTCCACTGTTAAATTCACTTTTAAACATTTCAGTGCATAAGGGAAGAAACAGTCTTTTTACAGTTTTATACTTTTGGGTGTCACCAGTTGGTTTTTAAAATGCATGATGTGCAATGAGAAAATTTCAAAGTTCTCAGGTCTCACTCATGAACAGAGAAAACACCTTTCCACCCGGCTCATTTAGAGTGACTAGTTGTTTATCATGTATTAAAACAACTCAGTGATGGTTTTAGAAGGCTGGGGGGGTTTTAATCCTAAATCCTCAATGACAAAGATGACGGCTTCATAGTTTCCCCAGAAAAGAACAGAAGCTTATTTAAAAAAAGGCTCTAGAAGGCAGAAAGGACTATTTTCAATCATTGGAAATGCTTAAAGTTCTAATTTATATACAAATGCATGTATATTTATATATCCTCACTGAAATAAATGACCAGGAAATGCTATTAGCTGTAATCTGTTGGAAGAATGCACCCAGAGGGCTGCAGAGGATTTTGCTGCCAGTGAACCCATCCCAGTGGTAGGAGAGGAGATAAAATTTGTATGCATCTGGTTGAACCTGAGAGGAAGGTAGGCTGAGGGACCTTATGATTTCAAAAAAGTGCAGGGAGTTAACAAGAATAGAACTCTCCTTCCTTCTCAGAAGCACAAGTAATTGACTGCGAGAAGTGCTTCTGTTGCGGGTATTGATCAGTGACAGTTAGAGATGTTCTTTACAATCACTCGCCCTATGAGGCCTAATTAACAAAGGCTGGCTTGCTGAATTAGATAAAACTCAATGTCCACTGAAATTAATGTGATGCTGTCTAAGTGTCCTTCAACTATTAAAGGAAAATCAAGTTTAAGTGGAAGAAACGAGCAAAGTCCTGTTAAGGGCTAAAACAATTGTGACTGGAAAAGTGGATTAAGACAACAGATTTGCAAGGACGATGCGAGGCACAAAGACACTCTTAAAAAGTGCCACTTCT